ATGGAGCTGACATTGCAGTTTCATTCTACAGTTACCATTTAAGAGGCAGTTTTAGCACATTCAATGTGAGTTCTCAGTTAAAAGTGAAAACAAAAACTTGGTATAGTTTCTAAACTTTAATTTTTTCTTATAATTATCCTTTTTTCCTCAAAGTGAAATTTCACTGAATTACAAACTTGAGAAGAAAAATACAGATTTAATTTAATCCCTGAGTTTTTTGGTTGTGTGTTACCCAGCAGTATAACACAATAACACTGAAGAGAAGTCAAACTTACAAAAAATGCATGCCATATGATTTCATTAATTGAAAGACCAAAGTCAACCAAACTAATCACAGGTATTAGAGGTTGAGATGTTGGTTACTCTTGGGGTATAGTGGCAGGAAGGGAGCAAAAGGGCTCTATAACTTCTTAGTACTAGTTATTTTCTAATTTTTAACTGGAAGATAGGAACACACATGTCTTCACTTTTTGATAATTCATTGAGCTGTACATTTATGATTTATACACTTTATGTGCCCTTCCAACTAAAACATTGGCATTCAGTCCCTGTCTCAGGCTCTGTTTTCTAGTGAGAACAGACAGAGGGTGCTTTAGATGGCATCTACTACATTCCAGGCACTACTGGGAGTATAGAATAAAGTAATTGGGCTATCTGTGACTTCTTGAAGCTGATGGTCTAGTTTCATTCTAGAATTACCCTTTAGGAGGCAGTTTAATACATTCAATGCGAGTTTTGAGTTAAAAGTAAAAATGAAAAGTTAGCATAGTCCCTAAACTTTTTTTTCCTTATCGTTAGCCCCTTTTCACCATACTGAAACCTCCTGACCTACACACGTGAGAGGAATAATACAGATTTAATTTAATCCCTGAGTGTTTTGGTTGTGTGACACCCAGCAACATATTACAATAATACTGAAGAGACGTCAAACACACACGAAAATACATGCCATGTGATTCCACAATTGAAACACCAAAATCAACAAAACTAATCACAGGCATTACAAAAAGAGGAACACAATGCAACTCCAGAAACTAACTTTAAAGAAATAAATATCTATGAGTTACATGATCTTGTAAAGATATTTCAACACCCATATTTATTGCAGCATTATTCATAATAGCCAAGAGGTGGAAGCAACCCAAAAGTGCATCAATGGATGTCATATAGACATACAATGAAGCATGAACCAGCCTTGCAAAAGAGGAAATGCTATCACATGCTACAACATGGATGAAACTTGGGCATCTTGTGACAGTCCAAGGGGTTCGCCTTTCCCACTGCCTAGACAAAGCTGCTTTATCAGGACAGGGGAATTGCAATAGAGAAAGAGTAATTCACACAGAGCTAGCTGCATCAGAGACTAGAGTTTTATTACTACTCAAATCAGTCTCCTGGAGCATTTGAGGAGCAGAGTTTTTAAGGATAACTTGGTGGGTGGGAGGAAGCCAGTGAGCCAGGAGTGCTGATTAGTCAGAGACGAAATTATAGGGAGTCAGGGCTATCTTCCTGCACTGACTCAGTTCCTGGGTGAGGGCTATAAGATCAGATGAGCCAGTTTATTGATCTTGGTGGTGCCAGCTGATCTGTCAAGTGCAGGGTTGCAAGCACTGATCTTAGGAGCAGTTTAGGGAGGGTCAGAATCTTGTAGCCTTCAGCTGCATGACTCCTAAACCATAATTTCTAATCTTGTGACTAATGTTAGTCCTACAAAGGCAATCTAGTCCCCAGGCAAGAAGAAGGTCTGCTTTGGGAAAGAGCTGTTACCATTTTTGATTAAACTATAGACTAAGTTTCTCCCAAAGTTAGCTCAGTCTATACCCAGGAATGAACAAAAACAGGTTGGAGGTGAGAAGCAAGACGGAGTCAGTTAAGTTAGATCTCTTTCACTGTCTCAGTCATAATTTTACAAAGGGAGTTTCAATCTCATGCTAAGTAAAATAAGCCATCACAAAAAGACAAGTACCGTATGATTCCTCTTAATAAAGAAGTTATTAAGAAATAATTTGTAGGCAGCTAGAAAACGTGTAAGTTCTCAGTGGAAATTTGCCTGTAATAAGAAGCAACCCCTGGAACCATTTCTTTTCTAACAGAAAAGGCAACTTAGAAAGCCAGACCGGCAAACTTTGATATCTAAATGTTGGCTATTAGAAACTAGGTCCACCTAAGATGGCCAAAATGGCAATTCCCACCCTATTCTCCTTGTCGCCACATGTGCCAGTGTGCAGTGTGATGGCCACCTCCAGATAACTCACGTGTGTGTTCAGGACATCACGGTGGCCCACACTTGCATATTAAGGTGAAAGACCCACATTTTTCATGGGCTACATGAATGACACCCCTGGTCAAACCAATCCCCTGGGTCTTATGCAATAACCAACTACTTTTCAGCCACACACAGGGTTTCTCTTTGTTCAGAGCCTCTCTCCCTCTGTCTCTGTAGGAGGAAGCTGTTTTCTTCTTTCTTTTTTCTTGCCCATTAAATTATTCGCTCATTAAAACCACTCCGCATGTCTCCATATCTTTTATCCAATTAGTGCAAGACCAAGGACTCTGGTCATCATCCAGTCATTGGAGCTGTATCGCTCTCACATGAGGTATCCAAAGTAGACATAGAACGAATATGGAACAGAACTTAGAACGGGGGTTACCAGGGATTACGAGCAGGAAGGAGAGTAGTAGTTATTTTTCAAGGGGTATACAGTTTCAGTTTTGCAAGATGAAAAAGTTCTAGAGATTTGTTACACAGCAATATGAACATAATTAATACTACTGATCTATATACTAAAAAGTGGTTAAGATAATGAATTATATATTTTATTTGACAATCTAAAATTTTTAAAATTAAACATTAAAAATTGATTTAAAGAGAATATTGCTTTATTTCTTGCATACCTGCCTTTACACAGAACACAACAAAAAGCCTTTTGCTCCTAGGTCAGTGGTTCTCAACATGGATGTGAGGGGATTTTGTTCTCCCGCCATCAAGAGACATTTGACAATATCTGATGATGTTTCTGGTTGTTACACACAGGGTGGGGTTGTGCTGGCATGGGCCAGGGAGTCGGCTGAGCATCCTACAGTGCCCAGGATAACCGCCTACCACAAACAATTACCCAGTCCGAAAGGGCATTGCAGCTTATTTGAGTAACATGTCCTAGATTATTAATCAGAATGTGTTATCGATATATCAGTGTTTTCCCTTCTAGTTAGGTTGGTAGAGTTCAGACTCTGGAAAAAAAAAAAAACTGAGAATGTAAAAGGCGGAATGAGTGTAAGCTGAAAGACAAGAGAGAGGAGTCTTGTTTGGAGCTCACTGAAGCCAAAATGGAAAAAAGGGAGGTTGGGGAGAGGAAGACAGTCAACAGACCACTTAGAGGCCATAATTCTGCAGGGTTCTGTGCTCAGCACCTTACATGTGTTGTCTCACATAATCCTTAAAATCAGAGATCATTTTAAATTAAATAGCACAGAAAGAAAAACAGAGTGGAGAGGGAGTCTTTGCTTGGGTAGCCAACTTTAACTGGTTTATTGGCACATTCCCCTAAAAAAAAGGGTTTTATTGCTCCTGACGTGGCCGGCTCCTGCTTAATCAAAGCTCAGGAGGAGAGCTACATTATGCTGTGAAGGTGGCAAAGATGCAGAGCACCCATGGGAAAAACAGCTGGCACTCTGAGAAAGGGGAAGGGGCACCAGGAGCTCAGGTGAGCGAGGTCAGAGGTGTTATAAGTAAAACTTCAATGCTGCAAAAGAAATAGCACTTGAAGATAAATCCTCTCAGAAAGGCAGTTTACTTCTATAGAAGGGTGTGGCTCACAGATGTAGCAATGGTGGCTGAATGTTTGGACAAGGGGGGAAAGGGGTACTTATGCCTCATGGGGGTCGTCCCTACTGCTGTGTCATTCCCCTATAGGCTAGGGTTAGACTGCACAGGCTAGACTAATCCCGACTGGCTATTTTAAAGAGAGCAGGGGTCCGAGCTGGAATGGCTGGGTGGGTGTTTTGGCCAGAAGGACAGTAACAGGCGGGTCACAGCAGGTAACCAGGGGTGATCTAGGTCAAAGAAGGTGACCAGGGCAGGTGACCAGAGCACGTAACTGGGATGCATCAGGACAGAGCCAGGGGCCGGGGGAACAGATTTGAAACTATTGATTAGAACCCGTGGAGAAGGTTGTTTACTGGAATTACAAGGAAGTTAAACCTTAAAATAGAGAATTAAAGAATAAGAGAGCTGAACATACTGACATACTGATTCTCTGAAGAGAAACTTGGGGTTCACTATAACAGGTGATTCTGCCCCTCTCCCCAGGCTTTCTGGGTGAGTCCATTCCCCTTCTCAGACTCATGGTTAGAACTTAAGTCAATTACATTTCATAGTGTCTATATCATTCAGACCCTGAGAATTAATCCAGCCTTTCTAAATGGCGCGTCTTAAGTCTTTTCTTCAATAGAAGAGTTAATGTTTTGAATTAAGTGCAGAACCCATGGGCCTCTGACGTGACAGTGATGGTTCAGGTTGTGTTTCTGGGTTCATTCTGCTAGCTGCCCCAAGGAAAGGAGAAAGGAAGCTTGCAGGGTGGGGCTGTGTAGTCACCTGGCTGACTCAGGTTTCCTTACCTGATACATTAAAGTCAGCTTCCAAAGAATGCCCAGCCGAGGGTTTGAAGTGGCACAGTGGCTCTGTCCTCACAAAACCAGCCTACGTGTGAGTTTGTCTAATTTGTTTAGGTCCTGCTAAATCTTTCCCATTTGTTCCTTCTCAAGCTTCACTACTTCCCTAGAGTAGCCCTACCTTTCCAGAGGGCAAAGATGTTGCCACAGAAAGACAGTAGCCAGAGGAGAAAGGTGACTTTAGGGTTGGTGGCAATTGGGCAATGAGTGTTGAAAGGCTGCTTTCAGCCTGCCAAGAGCTTGCTTGGGGAACTAGAAAAAGAAAAATAAATAAAATAAAAAACAAAATATATACATAAAAAACAAGTTTTTAAGAAAGGTTTTTTTCCTATATTCTATACTACTATTATTAGCTATGTATAATTGAATGTTAATTGAAAGCAATATCATCATTATTGCTGTGATTATTATGGTTACTTATATATGATAGAATAGTTATTTATATTGTAACTACCAGCAATATTACTATTATTAGTTACATATTATTGAAAGCATCAAAGCAGCATAGGCTTTTTATAAATATTTTTGCTCATCTTTGTGACAATTCTCCAGGGTTGGTATTGCTCCTCTATTTAACAGATTAGATAAATGAGGCTCTAAGACCAGACTGACCTAATAACAGGTAACTTGAACGTCTCAAAGTGGCAATTCACACGTAAATCTCCGTGACTCATGAATTATCACAGTCCTAAGTTGGTTCTTTTCATGATTTTTCTGAAGTTGCTAGAAGTTTACAGAAAGGAAGGGCCAGCACATTTCACAAATCTATAACCTGTAAGTATCACATCCTGTATAGCTGCGAACACTGGAATAAGGAAGGGCGGATGACTTTCAGAAGATGAAGGTAAGTAGAAACCATTGGTGGGACTGTCTAAGAACCCAGACACTGTCCAGCTCCCTGCTGGGAGCTTCTGAGGATTCAGCTGGAACCAACGGGCACAGGTAGGTAATGCTGAAAGACTTTTCTCATCTCACCACTCCCTTGCTGTAACCTCGCTGGAGAAGTAATTTGACTCGAAACTCCTTGACGGCAGTTAAGAGACACCAGGGCATTTTGGAGTGGGCAAATGGAAGAAGCATCCAGTTTTAACTGTTTCTTCTGCATTCTAACTGCATGATCCTGGTGAGTCACTTACTTAAGGTTGTGTAATTAATGGGAGCAGAGCTCTTGTCTCTTCAAATGTTCTTAGGCCATTTGCAAACAGGGCAGTCTGTGGGCCAAGAATGGTGCAGTGAAAAGAGATCCAAGCTGAGCTCAGCAACAAATACCATGGCCAACTTTGTCCTTATGCTGACAAGTGGAGGATCCAGGACGCGAGCCCATGTGTTACGACTCCAAGACTTGTTTTCATACCACTGCATGCAGCTACTTCTCCAGCCTGAGTAAACTCAGACTCAGGCTGGCGTTGCCAGGTGGGAAAGTAGGAAGAGGTAGAATAATCTAGAGATTTATGCAGAGGCTTCACACTCAAGGAAAGCTGGGATCCAAGACTGGCCTTAGAGCTTCCCAGCTGTGTGAACAGGGTTGAACAAGAAGGGTAACTGCAAATATTTCTTCAGCATTAGCTCTGTGCCATGCATATATGCAATGTGTATATTATTCACATTCATAACTTAAACTTTATATTGCATTTTCTAATTTATTACATGTTTTTACTAACTTACTAACATGTAGAGCTGTCGTAAGGATTAAAACCACTGCATGATAAGAACTAAGAGCATGTCTAGTAAAATATGATAAATGTATCTGCAATGAATGCTAATAAATTGTGTTAGACAAAAATAGATAAGCAGAGTTCATTTATTAGTCTAAAACATTCATCAAGTATATGGCAATATAACTGTTGTCAGTAAGACTAGGGGAAGGGAGATTGTTGCGTATTGCAAATTTTGCGAGACCATTTGCCTCTGGACATTGGGACCTCTCAAGATTCATGCTGCTGCCATCCTGTGATATATTTATTATCTATAATGGACTGTGTCAAACATTATGGAAAAATCCTCATGAAACCAAGGTTGTGTGGTTTTCACTGTTCCATACTATCAGTTTCTTTTTCTAACAGACAGGCCAAGTCTGGACTAATTGGCAGAAACTGACTTACCAGTTTTGCAGCCAGAATCTGAGATCTCTGTATTTTTTAAGAGTTAAATCTATTTTTTCTTCCATAGTTGGCAGTATCATCATGACATCACAACCTGTTCCCGATGAGACCATCATAGTGCCCCCATCAAATGTCACCAACTTCTCCCAAGCAGAGAAACCTGAAACCACCAACCAGGGACAGCATAGCCTGAAGAAGCGTCTACAGGCAAAAGTCAAAGTTATTGGGGTAAATCTCATTCAGAACATGCTGGAGGTGGGTTGGCAGAAGGGGGAAGGGATATTGTATGTTTTGGTACTGGACATCCATTGTGAGTGTCAAGACCCCTAAGTTTTGCCGGAGGGACTTAAGGGTAGAAGCCACCTGGAGAAAGCTGTCCCAGAACTTTTACACAAGAGGTTGTCTTAAAAGTATTTATTCCTGGCCAGGTGCAGTGGCTCATGCCTCTAATCCCAGCACTTTGGGAGGCCGAGGCAGGCAGATCAAGAGGTCAGGTGATCTGCCTGCCTTGGCCTCCCAAAGTGGTAGGGTTACAGGCATGAGCCAGTGCACCTGGCCTGGCAGGGTTACATTACAAATGCTGGTTTTAATCCTCAGTCCCCCTTTCTCTTTCCACAGATTATCCAGATCTTGTGTGGTATGAAGGTGTTAAGCTTGGGAATCATTTTGGCATCTGTTTCCTTCTCTCCAAATTTTACACAAGTGATTTCTACGCTGCTGAAGTCTGCTTACCCATTCATAGGACCCTTGTGGGTGAGGAGAGTTTCTGAAGAGGGAAGCATGGGAGAAGAGGGGAGGAAGATGCCAACAGCTTAAACTCTCCACCTGCCACCTTGCTATGTTCTGTCTGCAAGGAGTGAGGAATCCATGGTGAAACTTGCTCTCCTGTGTGTATAGTTCAGGGAGGACTCAGTGGGATAGGATGACAGGGGTTGCCTGATTTTGATCAATATCAGACTCAAATAAGCATTTCTTATAAAGATCATCATGTTTTTTACTTTATCATCTTGAGCTGTGATGAAGCTAGTGACAAAACATCCATAAATTAGGATAAAGTTGGAAAGGACCTTTTTATATTAAAAAAAAAAGAGCATCAATGGAAGACATCATACACTCACAGAAAAACCACAGAGATGCTTGCAGGGATTACGGAGGAAGGGAAACTTTCACTTGTGAGCTTTTTGAAAATGCTTTTACTGCATTGACTGATGCCCAGGGAAGGCTAAGCACTTGTCTATGTCCCAGTGATGGACTGGAAATTCCTCTGAAATAGCTGCAGGTCTGGGGTTTCAAAAGGACTTAGTAGTCCTTTTCTCAGAAAACTGCTTTCTCTTAGATTGAGGCTTTCTCATAATTAAGCTTCTCTTTCAACTTCCTGAAACTCCGTACCTGTTATTAGCTTATTTTTTACATTTGTTTATTTGATGCATCAAGAAGCCCACCTTTTTGTCTATCTTGTCCATTTTTCCTCTTTTATTATCTAAAGTTTCATTTGGATTTGGATCTCAAAGGTTTTCCCAAATGACCTTTTTTCTGTGTCAAGATCCATGCAAGGCTATTACATTACACTATATTACATTTTCGTCATGATGTCTCAGGCTCCTTTAGACTTGCTCAGATTTTCTTTTTCCTTGAGGATTTCGATAGTTTGGGGTAGTACTGGATGAGATTTTCATAGAATGTTCCTAAATTGGGGTTTGTCTGATATTTTTCTGATGTTTAGACTTGAGTGAATTTTTGGCTGATGATAACAGAGGTAAAGCACCATTTTCATCAAGTCACATCAAGGGTCATGCTACCAACTTATCGTCACTGATACACTTTACCTTGATCATGTGTTTGGGGTAGTGTTTTCCAGGTTTCTACGCTGTAAAGTTACTACTTCTTCCTCTCCTCTTTCTATAATCCATTCTTTAAAAGCAAGTCACTGGGCACAGTTCACCTTTGACAGGGCATCTAGTTGATATTTTTAAGGACTTGGGATTTGTTTATATAGACAAATAATTAAATGCCTGGGTCACAAAAATCACAACTTTTCTTTGAACTTTGTCCCCTTTTCTTTAACTGTCAAATAATTTTCTGTTCCTTAATGGCTCTAAATCTGCTAGATCATGAATACTCTAGAAGATGAAAATTTCTTTGATTGTGTAAACACAGCCTTGAAGGTTTTCTGCCATCCATTCTTGTCTTTCCTTCTGTTCTCATTGATCATTTTATCTTAAACTGGGGAGCCAGCAATGTAAGATCCACGTCTCTGACCTCCCTTATCTGTTAGCTTTTCCCATCTTTTATTTTCAAGAAAACCTTGTAACAACATTTCTCTGCCCTTCCAAAACACTGAAGAGGAGGGAGTATTTCCAAACTCATTTTTTTGAGGCCAGTATTATCTTGATGTCAAAGGCAGACAAAAACATACAAGAAATCTCCAGGTCGATATCCCTAATGAACATTGATGCAAAAATCTTCAACAAGATACTGGCAAACTGATTTCAACCACATGTTAAACAGATCACTCCCTATAATCAAGTGAGATTTATTCCAGGGATACAATCATGGCTCAACATACATAAATCAAATGTGATTAATCACATCGATAAAACGATGTATGAAAACCACATGATTCTCTCCATTTCTTTTATCTTTCCATACCATTGCTTTCATGTCGTTCTCTAAAGAACATCTTATACCAAAATTTTCTCATTTCATTAAGAAAACAAATGTTATTTCCTGGCTTTTAAGGTCTTCATTTTGTTTATTTTGATATATTTCTGCTATCTTTTTTTTTCCTGTTGCTATCTAAACACTATATGAGCAAACAGGATAAATCTATGTCTTTAAATGGGTCTTGCCTCATTGATGATTTGTTCCCCAGGGCTTTTCCCATGAGAGTTTTCTATAAACATCGTGATGGTGACATTGCAGTTTCTCTTTACGTGGAAACTCATCTGACCATTTTCTCTTTTATCTTAGTTTGTCATCTCTGGCATTCTATCAATTGTCACAGAGAAAAGGTTAACCAAGTTTTTGGTGAGTATGAGAACTATAACCCACAACTCAGTGGTTCAAAATGAAACTTAGAACTCATTAGGTCCAGTCTTCCTACTTTGAAAAGCTGAAAACTCAGTTCCAGAGCAGTTAGTTGTTAGAGTTAGTAGCTGCACCTGGATCCTCTGTATCCTTGTTCAGAGCACATTTTTCCAATTATTTTACCCTACATCAGAGTCTGCATTCGGGGAATTATAGCATCTTTTCAGCCGGTATCCAAGGATCTATCACAGAAAAATGTTGCTTATTTATCATGGTCTTTTAGTGATAATTGGCCTTCAAGTTTAGGTTTTCAATGGCAAGGAAGCTGACAGTGTTATAAAGAGGTCTATTGGTTGGGGTTCACTGTTTAAGCCCAGGTGTTACAACCCTTGAAAAAAATGAGTCAACGTGCTGCTTATGCATGGTACTATGTCTCATTCTTTCATCTGTCTCACCAGAAAGATAATACTTTTGTTTTGTTTGAGTATAAAGTTTTGCACCCTAAAAAGTTGTCCTTAGTCATTTGTATTGGCTAAGAAGAAAAAAAAAAAAAGCTTTACCTGCCTTTATCTCCTATTCCAGCAAAAACTAGGGTTGAAAGTGGCAGGGAGAGAAAGGCTGGATTATAGGCAAGAAGTGTTTCTTGTCTGTAAAGTTTCATTAAATCTTCACTCAATCCTATATCCCTCAAAGGGTTGATGTTGAAGATTATGTGAGAGAATGTCATATAATTTAATTGCACAGAAACTCAATTTGGTAACTGTGGCTACAAAAACTTCCAAAGCCATCAAGAAAAATCCCAATTCTTTTTTTCCCTCATTGGTATTTAGAGACTATTATTTGGAACCCTGAGTTACACTCCAAACTTTCTATGATGGAAATGAAATGTAACTTTCTGTAATGATGGAAATGTACGACAGTTGTACTGTACAACATGGCAGTCACGTGGCTACTGATGATGTGAAATATAGATAATACAACTTAATACAAATTTTACTTAAAATATAAATAGTCAGTGTGACTACTGGCAACAATATTGAGTATAGCCTGGCACAAGGGTAGTGTTTTCAGACTTCTAGGAGGAACTATCTGGGCCTCTTACCCCAGAGAACAATCCTACAGTGAACGTGCAGGAAGCTCAAGGATGCAGGATGTAGTCTCAGGGTGGGCTCAGACTCACCAGAGACATCCAGGCTTTAGTGAGTTCCCCTCTTGTCACACATTGTACCAGCCCTTTCTGAGATTGCAGAAGAGTGCCGTCTCAAGGCAAATCTAGCTTATTCTAAGAAATATATACTCTGGGCATCAGGACTACTACTGGCTACTAGGAGCCCCAGGAGTATATGCTTTAGTCATTATGTTGGGAAATCAGGGTCCCAAAGCATCAACTGGTGAGTTCCTAAAAGAAGAAGTGCCCATGTGGGATTAACTAGCACTCTACTGTACAGCTGTGGGGTGTGCCCTGGAGGCTGCCTACCTATAACTGTAGCTTTCAGAATGCTCTGAGCTCAATTCTCTTTTCTGTGTGAGTTGGAGTAGAAAGTAAGTCACTCTGAGATCAGTTTATTTATTCCCTTTCCTTTATGAATGTAGAAATGAGAACCAGAGTGAGAAATAAAACCAAGGAACTGAGTACCCAAAGGAACAAGCTAAGTCAAGTCTATATTGTGACCTCAGTTTCTTGACATCCAATCCAGACCTTTTTCTTCTACCTCCCGTTGCCTCCCACACATGACACCATCCTTGGGCCTGCACCTAGACGTCTGTCCACAGCCATCCCATGCTGCACTAAACGTGGCCAATCATATGCCTGCCCAGGTTCTAGGGCCTGCCTGAGACTCAGAACCATCCCTTCATACTCATGTTTCAGAGGTGTGCTTTTGAGAGAGGCAATGTGCACACAAGAGTGCACTATTAGGTTGGTGCAAACGTAATTGCAGTTTTCCCATTGAAAGTGGTGTCAAAAACAGAAATTACTTTTGCACCATGTTAATATACCATCCAACTTTTCTGTGTGGCTGATGCTTCCACAAGGGGTTTCTGAGTTGGCCAAGAGAGAAACTGCATCTGGTACATTGCCACCTTTGCTTTTGGTCACACTCATAGTAATTTTTCAGGCAAGCCTCATGGAGGCTCTACTACCAGTCCCAGAGAAAGAATTTAGGAGAGTAACATTCTCTACCACACCACTGACGTCCTGCTTAGGGGGAACCAGTTCATATATTCATTCATTAAGCCAAGATTTACCTTAGAGATTCAGAGATTTTTACTGGACACTGAAGAGGCATACAGCAATGAATGATCATTCCTAGACTTCCTGAGGGAGACAGATAATGGAATAACTTGCAACGTAACGGCAAAAAGGGGTAAGAGAGATTCGCAGATCATTGGGAATGATCCCTACCCAGCATTTCTCTTTCAGGTGCACAGCAGCCTGGCTGGAAGCATTCTGAGCACTCTGTCTGCTTTGGTGGGTTTCAGTATCCTGTCTGTCAACCTGGCTGCATTAAATCCTGCCTCACTGCAGTGTGAGTTGGACAAAAAGAGTACCAAATATACCAAGCAGACGTTTTCTTTATTATGATTATGAATCACCTTATACCATGAACTGCTGCTATAGAGACAAAGCCAGTCTGGCTGTAAGTATTTTATAGATGGGATGTTCCAATTTTATGGGGCTTCTGAAAGCTTTGGTTTCTTATTATTCCTTCCTTTGAAAATCTCTCTGCTAATTCTGGTTTCGGCATATGGAGGAAGGCCAGGGTTATATATTTATCAAAGGGGGACTACATGGATGAAATCAAGGGGATTACATACTAACAGAGTGGAATTGAAAATGTCAAATCAGGTTGATGATAAAAAACCAAAGCATATTTTGTAGAATTTCTTCATTATCAAACTAATTTTGGAGAGGCATAAATTATGAGTTTGTCAAACTGAGAATGTTGGTACGTAGAGTGGTGAATTCAGATTGGCAAACAGGGCAGAAAGACTCAGGTGACCAGAAAGTGCCAACAAAGAAACCTGGTATGTGTGTGTGGCAGGCGGTCAGTTTCGTCTAAAAAAACATCAGACTAAAGACTAGGAAATAGAGAATAGGAAGTAGGGGATTAGACGGTAAGGGCTGCTCCTTCTAATGATCACAATAATGAATAATACGAATCAGGTGAGACGGCAACATTATTTTGTTCTAACTGGAGTGTGATATATGAAATCAGGAGAAAAGAAATATAGGGAATTAGTGCAACTGAGAATGATTGCAGGAGAATTTTCTCTCTTTGGAAGAAGAAAAACAATGAAGTTTGGCTAACAGAAATAATATATGTCTGAAGTTGAAAGATTAAGGGGCACGTGCATGGTCAGCAACACATTGAAAGGAAAACAGGCAACGTAAGAGTAAAGCAGTTGCAGAATATTTATTGTCCTTCAATCATAAAAATAAGATCAGCCAAGAACTCAGTGGGAAGACGGACAGATAGAAAGATCTGGTCAAAGCCATGCTTGCACAGCACTCATTATAAAGTGGACCTTGCTCCCAGGGTAATGGTATAATGAGGAAAAAGTACAAGCAAATGAGGCTGACAGTAACTGGTACAAAGTAACACCTGGCACAGCCAATTCCACCTTGAAAAAAATTCTGGAGAGAAATTTGGGAGTGATAAAGCATAAATTCATGGTGGGATTATTTTACATTAGAAATAAGAGAGAGTCTGTTGAGATTGCTTGCTGGAGCTATTTCTAGATAATGGGCACAAGGTGTATCTTCTCTTCAATTGTGTGTAAATACCACAAAACAAAAGTTCATGTGATCAAATTATCTACCTTTATTATCAGATGGCCAGTTCTGCATGAAGATTGTCTCAGGACAGAAATGGTAGAACCCATCCTTTTGAATTGGTGTTGATGATTAGCAATTCTGACAGTTTACTACCTTCATTGTTTTTTCCAAGCCTTAAAGCCACCAAAGAAAACAAAAATAAAAACGTAAACAACAACAAAAACAACAAAAATATAACATATCCAGAGGGGTTCAGATACGTAGACAGGGATGTCAATACTGAATTTTACAAAGGGCTTATGCAGCCAAAACCTCCTTGATCCTCACAAATCCCTCAGATAGAAACGTTAGTCTGTATATTTGATACACGAGGAAACAGGAGCTAGAGAAAGAGAGAGACTTGTCCAGGCTTACATAGCTACTAAGCAGTAAAGGTGAGACTAGAATGGAGCTGCTGATTCTCAGTCCTGGGAGTTATGGCACCACTCTGCTTTCTTACTGAGTGAATAATGTCGTTAGAACTATCGATGTCTCAAAGAATTAAGAAACAATTGTACGAAGTGGATTAGTTGATTTAGTTATTACTTATCTTCCCTTCTCCTCTCAAAGAAATGAATGAGTGAAAGGGTTGAATTTAGATAATTGTGAGGTGTGGGAGGGGCAGTTTTGTTTTCCTGACGGTGTCCTTACTTCATCTCTAATGGTTGAGGTGGTCTTCAGCTTTATGGTCACCTCTCAACCAGGCGTGAAGGCTTCAGCTGACCCATGTGCCACCAATTTTTTATTTCTTGACTTTCAGGGAACTCTGTCTCTGATGTTGATTTGTACTGCAGTGGAGTTCTGCCTGGCTGTGCTCACTGCTGTGCTGCGGTGGATACAGACTCAGTCTGACTTCCCCGGGTGAGTGTGCTGGCTGGCCTCGCTTAATCTTGCCTCGTGCGTCTTATCTCTGTACTGTGTTGAGTATGTTGTCAAGAGTGGTAGAAGGAAACATCAGCCAGTTATGAGATACACGTGGGAGGTCATCACGGCGATGGAAGACTGAGAGGAAAGGCAGATGGCAGTTGAGTAGCTGACAAGCTGAGAGTTCACTGGATATGAAAATAGTTAAACATGAGAAATCAACTGGTTCCATCTTCCCATTTTGTCAATGGAGGGAATGAGACTCTGGGAAGTCAAATGACTTGCCTGCCATTATGCTATGAGTTCGTGCCTGTGCTGAGGACACTAGAACCTGGCTTGCCTCTCTCCTAAGCAGAAACAATTTCTGCCACAACCGCTAGTCTCTTGATTAGTATTGACTCGGTAAAGGGCATTTACACATGTGACTAGATCCAGTGAATGTCTTATGCTCTGCTTTTCCTCCTGGTGATCTTAAAATTTTTTTCCTCTTAAAAGATATATTAAACATGTATTGTTGAATCAAATTCCATAGGATACCACCCCTATGGACTCATGGCTTTATTTAGCTGAATTTAAAAGCCTTAATTTGTACAGAATTTTATTATAGAGAGTAGAATGAATACTAGGCTGATAAATTGCAATTATTTGAAGAACCTAGCGATCTGCTCTACTTATCTTGGATTAGCGAAGAATTCTATGTATACAATTGGAAAAAAGTGGCATATATACATGTATCTTGAATCTGAGTGAAGTCTGAAGACCTAACGTAGTTTGTTTCTTCTAGAGTGTGCTTTTCCTGCCTCACGGTTACATTGATAAATCGGTGTGTCCTCAAAGATGACTCATGACCCTGGATATGAAGAACCATTGACTTCTTAGGAAGAAAGGGAGAAGTAGTAATTGGAAAGTTGATTCTAATGATAACATGGAAAACCTAACCATTATCAAAAAGCAAACTTTAGTTTCCTACATGTAAACAGTTAAATTAATGAATATTTGTTTCAAAAGATTATTTCACTGTCATTAAAGGTATGTGTTCATTGGGGATCTCTTGATTTACCTGATATTGACTTCAGCAAAAGCACAGGGCTGTTAATTACCATTTGCTAGACTAGCCAAATAGTCATAGACATATCCCAGAAAACTAGGCAGGATGATGGTTTAACGGATCACAATGAAGCAAAGGATAGAACTTTTTCTTCTACCCCTTAGTTGTCAACAGCAGTTAACTGATTTGTTGTGGTGCGCAGACTCCACAGGTGCTAGTGATTTATCCCATGTATTTTACTCATTAGTGCATAAAGGCAAACGCCATAATGAAGTCTCAGGGTGTACGAAAGTAGCTGGCTTCAAAATAAAATCTCTGAGTGTATATTTCAATACTTATTTTGTTATTTTTTCCATTAAACTCAGAATAAGTCAACAATGACAGACATAAACCCAAATTTGAACTCCATTTTCTCCCCACCAGTATTCAAACAAAACTAATGAGTGAACAAATGCTAACCAGGAATATTTGCCTGTTAGGAAGAGAAAACCAGTTCATACTTATTTCCCTATTTCAAAATAAGAAAGACCAATTGTTTCAGTATAAATGTTAAGCCTCACCTTGCCCATACACATGCGCGCACACACACAAACACACACAGGTGTGAAAAAGTGTTTCAATTTTAAATGAACTTCCCTTATTTGGAAGATCTGGTCATGTTTCCCTTGCTCTGACCCTCTGTAGAAGAGGTCATACTCACTGTATCAGATATCCTGATACTCAAGACACTTCCTTTGTTCTTTTTTTTTCCAGTCTCAAACTGAACTGTCAGCTTCTTTGATTTTAGCTTTACCTTCAAACTCTGTTTCATTATGTCTTCTCCCTGTCCTTTGTACCCATCCCTGACACACACCATTTATTTTATTTATTTACCTATTGTGGACATTCAACTTTTATTGATACTTACCAGATATCAGACACTATGCTCGATGCCAGGGCTTCCAAAGTGAATAACATACATGATTTGGCTTCAAGAAATTTATAGTCAAATAAGGAAAACAGAGATGGCAGTGAAATTAGGGATGTCTACAGGACATTAACTGTTATTTGAGCACAGAATAAAGAATAACATCTTCTGCTTAAAAGAATGTAGAGGATAAACAGGTATGTTTGTGTGTGTGTATATGTGTGTGTGTGTGACAGAGAGACAGAATGTCCTTCCTTTGAAAGTCCACCCCCCCACTATCAATCACATGGTGCCAGCTTCTGCCACAGGATGGGACCTTTGAAGCACTGTCATTTGTCTGGGGTAATACCACAGGTTCGTTGTCTCATGCCAAGAAAATTGAAGACGTGGACATACAAGGAGTGAGTTTAAGAACAGAAGTTTAACAGATGAAAGAAAGAAGAGCACTTCCTCAAGCAGAGGAAGGGGTCCCGAATGGATTTCTGGGTTTGGGACAAGATGAGATTGGTTTTATAGATGAGTTTGAGTAGTTGTGTCTGATTTACCTTGGGTGTAGTGGATTGGTTGGACCAGGTGTGCTATTTACATAGTATGGGAAGTGCTGGCCATCCCACCCTAATCTTCCATTATGCAGATGGAGTCTCCACCTGGCCGGCATCATATTGCCTGATTTTTTACTGCACACGTGGTGAAAAGGGAAGAGAGAACCTCCATGTTGAATATACCTGGCTTCCATGTATCCCTTTTCTATTGGCACAGCTGCAGGCATTCACCTTTGCAAGCTTCTAGCTTGCATATCTATTCTTGCAGCTTGATTTTTCAGGCTGCTTTTCCTAGAAATTATTTGGGGGCTGCTTTTTAATAAAAGGAAAATATTACCAAGAACTCCCTTACCTTTGCTAACTGCTTAAATAATTTCTTTTTAACTCCTGTGTTATTCCTTCCCTCAGGAGTAGTAACCCTAACTGCTGTTAGAGGGTGTTGGACAAAGATTATTTCCGGCTAATTCCTGCTGAAAAAGGGCATAGAGTGGGGGACAGCAACAAGGGCTCCTCTTGAGATCTAAGGGTCCGCAGAAGAAAGGTGTCCACGTGTGGTTCTGTCTGAGGCACCATTTAAAGTTTGACTGCTTCTAGGCCAAAGAAATAAATTTTACAAGAAGGTTCAGAATATAGGGTTTCAATGAGTATTAAGTTACCATTATTAGTGGGGGTACTATAGGACATAACCATGACAGTAGAGTTTGATCCTGCTTAGCCACTTTAATGGAATACCCGTTTGCCTCCACCAGATGTCACTAACTTTACCAGAAGTGTTACTCACATTTTTCTTTGCCTAAGTGGCATTGAATTGGGTGGCTAGAGTAACTTTAGTGTTAACTTTGGTTATAGTTTTCCAGCAATTATTAATCTTGTCATAAAGATGATAATTAGGCAGAATATTACAGCAATTAGAATTTTCCAACCAGAATTCCACATTGCAGATGCCACAATGTTTAGCTGTATTGCAAATAGTAGAGGATGTATAACAATTCCCACAAAGGTGGTGTAGTAGGTCATTTCCACCTAAGATTTTCACTCACCAAGATATAGAGTTCTCTTTGGGGTTTTATGAAGTTACAAATGTAATCCCATGAATAAATAAAATCTACCTGCAAATACGCATTAAAAAGTTCTAATATCTGGCAGCAAATCTCAAGAGGAAAGGTAGAAATGACAAAAAGTATTTGGTGAGGTAAAGGTGTGACTGAGTAAGATGCGTAGCCCTTACTCATTTACTTATCTTTTATTAGTTTCAGTTTAAGATCTCCTATTTTTTTGTCACTGATATTCAGGACATTCCTCTGGGCTGTCAGGGGTTGCTCTCTAGCTTTCTAGGCTTTGACTGCAGTGTGATGTATCCAGGAATTGATACCTGTAACTTTTACTACTGAGGGGGTTGAAAGAAGAACAGCGTAGAGCCCTTCCCAGCTTGGGGTCAGGGAGAGAGAGAGTTCATCCTATTTGTCACACACTCACAGGAAGGTAACTCAGGGCCATTCAGGACACTGCTCAACCTCAGGCCACTTGGTCAAAGGGCCAGGATGTGCAGGATGAAGGATTAGAGCCTAAGTTCCCTGGCTTCAAGATAAAGCATATTCCTTTCACGCATATCTATGGTAGATTGAATAAACTTAGAAATGAAGATGCCAAAGGAAGGAAGGGGGCACAAAAGGAGCTGTGATGGTGTAGTGAAATGTGCCACAGGGAGCATCTTACCAGTAGCATACACACATATTAATAATAACTTAAAACACTGGCATTTATTTGAACCTCCCTCTTTGTTTCATATGTTAAAAACACTTCATGGGGTCAGGGGCAGGGGCTCAAGCCTATAATCCCAGGATTTTGGGAGACCGAGGCAGGCAGATACCTGAGGTCAGGAGTTCAAGTCCAGCCTAGTAGAAATATAAAAAATAGCCAGTGTAGTGGCATGAGCCTATAGTTCTAGCTATTCAGGAGGCTGAGGCAGGAGAATTGCCTGAACCCAGGAGGCAGAGGTTGCAGTGAGCCAAGATTGCACCATTGCACTCCAGCCTGGGCAGAAGAGCAAAACTAACATTGAGTCTTCAAGACGTTTAGTGTTCCAAAAGCATCCATGTTCAAACAAGGCTTGTTGACCTCATCTCCCAGTGTTCCATGACCCCCCTGTGACATACTACTGGGTTACCAATGTTGAACCAACACTGGACTTGTTTGTTGACTTCAAATCACCCAATCAAGGCTACCACAGATGTAACACAGGATTTTTCTTGGCCTCTTTGCCAGCTGAAGACCTCCAGCCAGTGACCTCCACCCCTGCCCAGGCCTTGCTCAGGCCCAGGCTTACTGCAGGAGACACCCTGTATACTCAGCCTGGCAGGTCATATTTGTCTTGCACTCCAGTGCAGATCCCATGCCCACAGCAACTGTGTGCTAAGCCTTTGGTGGGAGGGAGTATGTGAGTGAGCAAGTGTGGAGTTGTGCCAGCCATTCCAAGCACTGGCACAGGAGTGGGCTCCATGCAGGGCTTGCACTGGACCGGGCATGTCACAAGCAACTCCTGCAGTGGACTCTGGCATCCAGATGAGGGGAACGTGGTGGCACCCAGCAAGGGTGCCCATAACCCTGAAACCCCAGAGGGGGTGTTGCAACATCCTAATAGCTCTTTTAGTCCCCCATCTGCAATCCAGTGAACGGCGGCATGTTAACAGCTCTGTCAGTCCCATTGCCCCACTCCTGCCCATGGCTCCAGGGCTAGCTCCATCCTGCTGCTACTTCCTGTTGCATGGGGTGGCTGCCCTCCACTGGCAGAGGAAAGAGGGCCACAGTGTTACAGCCTTCTTTGTACCTACATTCAGTGAGTCCTGAATTCTTGTCCCACGTCCAAGAAGAATGAGGTTATGTTGACAATTGAAGGGCAAGGAGGGTGGAGAAGAATTTTATTAAGTGACAAAACAGCTCTCAGCAGAGAGCAGATACAAGGACGGTCCCCCACCCAAAGTCAGGTGGTCTCTCTCACCCAGAGGTGGGCAGTTCCCATGTGGCTGAGTCCCAGGTTTTAACGGGCTCAGAATGGAGGAGTGCATGCTGATTAGTTTGTAAGTATGCAAAAAAGGCTAAAACAAAGGCACTTTTAAAAGTGGGCATGACAATGTAAAAGACCAATTGGGGAAGGGTAGGTACATGTAAAATAGGTGAAGGGTGGGGACCAATCAGAGGAAAGCATGTCAAATGGGAAGAGAGGTTCTCAATCCAGTCTCATGTTTATCTGATGCTTGTAGCTTGGCTTTCAGGCTTTGAACTCCCTTTGGATTGAAGGTGGGGTTTACTAGACACCTGCTCCTGTCTTCCTAGGGTTGTCTATCTCCTGGCACTATCAGATGCATCAATCTCCCCAAGTGTCTGTTTTAATTCATTTTTCAAAGTTCTTGGTCTCTGAATATATGTTTTTAGGGGACCTAAGAGACTAGAATTACTAATAATACCCCTTTCTTCTAGTCCCATATTTAAATTGACTTGAT